ATAGGTCAGTCCATAATTATTAAACTTTTACCGAATCCAAAATCTTTCCTAACGCATAAACGTAATGCCGGATTGCTTTGTTTGAGATCGCACAACAAATTTGTGGAATGCATTTGAGGAGAAATAATCAAGCACAGATAACGCGAAATTAGTTTCCTCGTATAATTAAGGAATTCTGTAAGGGAACTACCCTAATATTGTAAGAATTTGTACTGAGATGCCCGCTGGTGTTCTCAGCTTATGAAGCAGTTAAACTTCAAGAATATCTTACGAGAACCCGAATCATAAGAATAGCAAGCTTTCCCAACCCACTTATATGGACGTCTTTTATCAAAAAAGTCTGTCATTTTAAAGTTCTAGGCGCTTCATTATGCGGTCCTACTAATGGGTTGATTTGGATTATGCGAATACCAAATTAGCCCTTGGCGCAACTTCCGCCACACCATCGCTTCAATTTCATTGGTTGAGCGCACGCGATGAGCTGACTACTAACCAATCAGAGGAATGGCTTCCAAAAAACGGTGGCAGAAGTAGATGGAAATCGGTGTGCGTCTGCACCATGCTTCTCCATTGTGTTTCCCCATCGTCCCTTCTTAGGGGCTTAGCCACCTAATCCCCCTTCCTATGAAAGGCGAATCGCTGACTGTCGACTGTGCTGGTCACACTGCTCGTTTACACAAATAGAGGCGCTTTTGGTGGTCGTTGATCTACGCAGAAATGGGCCTGTTTATCTTCCCATCTGCATGTGTGCGTAGTTGCAATGACTTATCGAATGTACCCAAATTGACGATGTACTCATTCCTCTGTATTTATTTTTTAGTGGACACTCACCCATAATTGTTCACGAGTTGGAGGTCAACAAGAGACCCGTTTGATTTGCGATATGTAGGTGAAACGCAAAGGGAAGGGCTTGTGAGTATCTGAAACTTAAATAGCCTGTTTTACATTGAGCGCGTGTCTACATTTACCAATAGCTTGATAAAGGCATCACTGAACTTTGCTTATTCCGCCATAAGCCGGGGTCCGTGGTATTCCTTCCCTCAATTCTAGATGGCTAAATTGAACAATCCATATCTTGGCGGGCACTTGATTCAAAGTGTTGGTAAATTGAGGGATTTTTATAAACGCCTCACATTGAGCATAAAGCTATATGGGAACACATCATCATATGATAAAGGGTGTATTCAATAATGTGATTACCGTCATGAGGGTTTAATAATGTGGTAACTAAAAGCTATGGGTCGCATAAAATTAAGACAGTAAGGTTGAATAAAAACTCGTTCTTGTGGTTATTTATTCACGTGATTTCCCTGACCCATTTGTGCTTTCACCAAACATTCGACTCTGTTTGTACTATTATCTTAAAATGTTAGCCTTTTCAAATAACCCCAGTTTAACTACTACCCAAAAAATTTTTCGAGTGCAGTATAAATTTTGCAGTTATAATACAGTAGAAATTCTCTACTAAATTAAACAATCCCAGAGTGAGGTACCATTGATAGCATCTGGCATTCCTGTAAAATTTTCAACACTTTACGCAAAATTTGGTCAACACGCGGGACGGCTTCAAGTAGTTTCAGAAAACCCACACTGTTTGGTTTCATTTAATACTGATTCGCGATATCCAGTATCATTTAGGCATATTACTTTACTTTTCATTTTCATTACATGTAAAAATTATTCAAAAATAATATTCCGTTTATTACAGTTGTCTAATAGCCTACTGACAAGCGATTCTTTGAAATCTTTAAAATCCTTAAAGTATCTATCAACATAAACGAATCGAAGCTTGTGACCGAATTCAGGTAATAAACAATCATCGGTAATCTCTTTGGTCGTAAAAGTATTACTCATAAATAAAATGGAATTCAAGCTAAATAGCTGCCTCTTGGTATTCAGTCGGCGGTAATTTCTGAGAGATTCATAGTTGGAATCTTCCACGGGTCTAACATACTGGATGTTCATAAGATTCAATAATAAAGCAATACCTTTAGCATTCGTGAACTTAGGGTGAGACTTGAGCGAAAAACGGGAAATCGTGTTGAAAACCATGCGATAGAACACAATATCCATGTTCAGTAGCTGAGGGGAGAGTTAATCTTAAGAGGGGTTAGTGATTACCTTTAGATGCAAATGCCATTTAATTGAACAAAAAGCCTGCACCTTTGCGTGTAAGTTAAACCACCTCAAGGAAAGACATCGTGAATAGCTTTGTGGCCAAGCGAAACGAAATAGAAGACACCGATATGCAGCATAGATTTACTGAAAAGTTTTTTGAATACATTCTGTGTCACAGTACTAAACTGATCTAATTTAGTCAATCTGAGTTCGGGGGTGGCTTCCTGGAGTTATGCTAAAAACAATACCTGCAAAATCATTGCACTATCAAATTCACGTATCGTAGGTCCCAATTGTGGTTAACTTTGTGTTAACTTTGCCCCTTGAAAAATAACGGATTAAGGTAAGCACTCAAGCAAAACTCCAAATTTGAGTTTTTTTTCGGTTTATGATGTCATTTTTGTGCTTCGTAAGTTAGAAATTACTATACCTCCTTATAGTTTACAGGGCAAACTCGTTCAACTTTAGTTGGCATTCGCCTATGCAAAGTTTCTACTCCCTTCAAATGGCAAAATATTCAATTATCTTTCTCTATCAAATTTTAACTCACCAAAATCAAAAAGTTACTAATTGAGGTTTACACAAACAAAAATCAAGATGTCTGGTGGATGGAGATTTTAGCGAAAATCTGTCAATCTGAATGATAGCACAAATGCTTGCCCTATGGTACGATTCATACGTACTCGGAGCCTATCAGTAAAGTTTAATTTTAAAGGTCATGATGAAGGTCTTAATTTGTTTATTCATCGTGAAGAAATGAAATAAAATGTTAAGTAATTTGAATCGCATGAAAACGTTTCGTTAATCATCCACATCAATCCAACCATTTTTCCCTTGCTGCTAAAAATGATAAAGCAAATGCTGCCCATTAACTTGATAATGGTCTGTAAATTCAAAAATCAAATACCTTTATGAGTTATTACATAGTACCGATATTTTTATGAAAATAGGTAATTAAAACATGGTTCCCAACTCGTCTACTGACTACGATTTCGTAATGCGATGGTTGTTCATCTCTCGGTATTGGCGAGGAGCGACTTTGGATTTGGCCTATGTACCACGCCGGGTGGGCTGGCCTTCGGGCCATACTAGTAGCCCAAATACCTTCTCTTTGCTCAACATATGTATTCTACCCCAGTATTATGTCTTCCTTCGTCTGCAGGGAAGTCTCGGGACGCTACACAACGGTAACACCTGGCAATATTTGGAGCATGAAATTCGAGATTAGTATGGACACAATGTATACACTACTTTATAATATCAACAAATAACTTGTGCTTTAAAAGGGTCCCCTGGAAAATGAAAACTCCCAACAATGACACTAGTAAAGTGTTCCTATGGGTTTGTTTCCAGAACCCCCAGCCAGTCGGTGCTTCCTTATGGCACTTTTATTGCCATTTTGAGCTAAATTGCAAGGTCTTTTAGCTGTAACCAGTTTGCCTTCGGTGAGAACTCGAAGCCACTAGGTTTAAATGCTGGCCAAGGCGTTGATTATCCTAGATTTACAGCCGTTGTTAGGCTAGTTTTATCAACGATTTTGGATATTTGTTAAATGCTCCTACCTGTTCACCAGAATGCTAACTTTCAGGGGATAAATATTTTTGACATCGCAGCAGAGAACGATTTTATAAAAAATAGTTGTATTAACCTCAACGATTCGTTTTAGCAAATGTCCAAAGGTATAAGCTTTACAAACTGTTAGAAAATTCCTAAGCATTTCATGTAAACCTTCGTTTACAAAACTGATCGAGATACGGTAAATCAAAAACGCCCTCGTCGATTCATTATAGACACTTATTGCTTTAAATTGGTGTTATTATTACAATATTTACTTCCTGTAAGAGCGTACTAAAATACTGTTTCGTAGTGAAGTGGTGCTTGTTTTAATGTGTTGTTTTTACTCGTTCCATTTCATAAGAATATTTGAGATGCATTGGCTCAGTCTCTCAACTTGCATTGACCTAACCATTTACTTGTTGAATATTTTGGCAATCAAATTTCCCATTTATTGATGCTTTTCAGTCACATAACAATCTGTTGGGAATCTGTGAAGATCATGTAAACCAAATAGTGCAAAATCGGTCAAGATACTTTCATGTAGTGAAGAATAACAGTAAAAAGTGTGCAAAGGTTGTTGACTTCACTTAGGTATTCATTTGGTAATGACAGGGAAAGGTAATTAACAATCATACTAATTTAGTTGTCATCACTACGATTTTTTCTGCGCTTGATTCCACAAACCCACTTTTATTTGCAAAACCCAAACCTCTGAGATGATTGTTAATTTTGTTAAAACATATATTAAGTTTCTGGTAGCTTGAGCACGCGAGCGTATGCACACATACAAGCATAGGCTCACCTGTAGCTACCTGATATTTTGTTCAACTTTCTTTGAGCTGCGTATGCATTTCAGCTTCCGCAGGTTGTAATTCTGCCCTGTGGCATGAACGTCTAGCCATGACATAGGCCTCCCAAAACATCCCTACGTCAAAGATGCAATTTTATTCGCGGTACGTTTTAATTCAGAAGAATCGAGACGATATACAGACGCAAACGCACATTGGCGTTTACTAAGCCCCTTCACAATTTAGAAAAACTCCTCCAAGTGGTTCAATGGTTTCCATTTCCCTCAATGGATAGATAAACATGACGCTGCATAGTGAAAATAATTTTACGATTTCTAGCAAAAAAATTTTAGTGCTTTACTAAGTATTTCCTACTAAAATAGGTCCGCCACACGCAAACAGTCAAACCAGTCAAAGTTGATATTAGTTGCAGGAAAAGTAGCTGTCGATAACCTACTCGCTTTTATTTCGATGCAAAAAGCCTAACATGCATACAAATTTAGCAAGCTTAACTAATTTGTGTATGTAATACGTTAAATGTTTTGGGCGACTCTTGGGTTTGGTAACAACCCACCTAGGGGCTCCAACATTGTACCTGCGCCGGGAAACTCAGCCTTCGGGGCTATGCCGGTAGCGCCAACCTCTTCCGTATGTCGACAGGTGCATATTCGGCCCGAGCATTATGTTGTCTTTGGTCTTCAAGGAAGTCTCGGGGTAACAAAGTGAGATCACGCTTCGTTTACGTGTAATACGCAGATTCGTTGATTTTGCATATTATTATACATTTTGTCTTAACAAACCCTATCCAGTTAGGTCTTCTTGGTCTCCAATAATTAGTTTCGCTAGTTTTAGTGTTTTATAGTATCATTGACGGTAATTTTATACTTTAAGAGGTAGGAAAAATGATTGTTAGTGCATCAAGTAAATTGTACCGTAAGGTTAGCCAAATTTTCCTTTCCGCTTGCTGAAAAGTGTCCTTACATAACAATAACCATGAAGTACTTACACATACACAAGCAACGTACACGTACACAAGCAACAAATGACTTAATGTCAGTAAATCTCTCAACACATTATGGCTACTTTTCGTTGGTTGGAAGGTAAAATTTGTGTAGCCCCTCAAGGCATTCATTGAGACGAAAGAAGAAAGCACTTGGGCAGAACAATTTACTATCGACACGCAGTAAAGCTTGGGGCAGCTGACACGAATCGAAGACCCTAAGTGGTCCCGTTACCAGAACCGAGGGTTAAAAACAATTAAAGGGTTACAATTGTGACCGCTTGGCTGGTGTTTATGCTGGATGCTACAAATACCAGAGAAATGCAACGAACGACTCCAAAAAATACTACAACAACCAAATAGGGCGGGTAGAGTTATCTGCGGACCATACCAAACAACTACGGCATAGTCAGAGGAGTCTTGCACGTTTAGGTCGAAAATGGTTGACCATGAGACTAATTTGATATTCTCTATTATTCACTGGCAGACGATGTTAATGCGAAAATAATTAGTAGGAGCTCAATTTTTGTAAAATATAGTCGCATATGAAAAATTTGACCATGTGTTACAAATTGTCATTTCAATCAATTCGGATACAAATTGAATTGAAGGCGCATAGTACGATTTTTGGTTTTGTGTGTTGGTGTTTTTGCTTTTCTTGTTTCGGTCTGCGTTTAGAATGACGGATATCTCAGAAAAGCTCTCAGAAATAGAGCGGAATATTCAGGAAGGTGAAACAATGCTAACTGTACTTCGTAGACTACCTGAATCCGAGGTTTGCTCCCAGGTCCTTTATCATTTAATTTAGGAAACCAATGATCAGATCAAACGCTTTCAGGAATTAGTGCGACAACTTGAAGAATACAAAGAAAGATATAAGGCTCTCCAGGTTTGGTTTACTAGTTGCTTGATGTTATTAGGCTTCTCCTCTCAATGATTTTGAAGCTCAATTAGAGGCCCTTCGTGATAAACATGAGAGAATAAAGATGCTCCTGGGACGTTCGGATCTTGGGGTGGATCTCACTTGCTTTTTTGATATTCTTTCTCTTATTTTTTCTAATATGTTGTTCTTAGGAGACAAAGCCGTCATCACCACCTCCTAAGTCGCATCTATCACACGACGATCACGAATGCACTTCACCTGTACTCTACTCGAAGGATGGTTCGGTATCTAGTAGGGCAACAAATACTGATGCACCCGAAAATAGTGAGCAGTTAGCTGGCAGCTATAATATTGAACCATCGGAATGGCGCTTGCACTACGAGGTGCGTCAGAATTTGATACCTTTTTTATTCGTTTACTTGAAGCAATCATTCCCATTAAGCGTCCCATCTTGTCGTTTCGTTCTCTACTTTTGCATTTACTTGCACATAAGATTACTATTCTTATCATCTTTGATGTCAAACGCCTGAGATATTCCTTATTTCAGTTTTCATGCATCATTTTGCGCAATTAAGTTTAAAATATCTGCTGCGCCAATTTGTATCTGTGTTTTATGTGAGGCAGTGCATTTGCAACTGCTTTTAAAATTGTCAAAACTCATAGTATCTTATTTTTTTGACTTTAGAATCAAACGCGGCAACTTTCGTCCATGTTGTCTCAAATCGCTCGTTTCCAGGAGATGGTTGGTCGTCTTTCGAATCTTGTTATCGGCTTGGTAGGTTGGCGTTATGAGACACTTACCCTCCTCTGAGTAGGATATGACTGAGGCAGTAAATCTTCTAAGTGATGTTGGTCAGCGCTTCACAGAGGTCCACTTGAGACTTCTTTCACTGCAAACGGCCTACGAGGTGCGTGAAGCGTTTATGCCGTTTTTATTCGTATATCGACATGTTTACACTTATGCTAGGGTTGGGTTTAGATATTCTAATTTTTTTACGCCAATAGGGGTGAATTGTAGGTTTTTTGGAAACTTGCGTAGTCATTGGGGTACTACTATCTAGTGTATACCTGAATTTGTGGATATATTTTAAGTATTTCACAACCCTTTGAAGCAACCTTAAACTTATTCTTGGAATATTCTAAACTTTTTTTGTTATAATTCATCTGGACCAAACTTGGTTTATGACTAAGAAATAAACTTTCAACGTTTAATTTGAATTCAACGGCAGGATATTCCTTCAGTAGTCGTTAGGCCCTTTTATGAGCGTTCATTCTGTCACGACGTCAGATTTGTTCATTTATTATGAATCATGTCAACGTTCGCTGATTTTGCGCAAATTATTGCAAAAGAACATTGTATAAGAACAACTTTATCTGTTGACTTTTCAGCACACTTTTTATGGGATGCATTTTCAACCATTTCACGCATTTTAGGCAGTTTGTAATGGCGAAGACCCATCCAATGGCTTTAAGGCCACTCAAGTAAGTTGTTGATTCCATCATTTTTCAATATGTTCACTGGATAAACCTAATAAATTTGTAAATCATTTTGGCCTATCCAATTTCTCCAAATTTGACAGGACCTCAGCTAATCTAGCCTTAACTGTACTGGCATTACACCAAAGTGGATATCGGTGCTAATGGTGCGCCCCTGTGTAACGTTGTACCCTGTTCACATTTGAAAAATGTTGTTCGTATCTGCCTCTGAGGTTGTATGTTGTATGATTTCAGGCGGAAAATATTCACTCTCGGAAAAAAGCGTTTCTTTCTTGAACTGCATGGCTTTTTTTTCGTTGGCATCTTTTAATCAGGGGTATAGTGTAAGTTGACTGTGAAGCACACGAGACATTTACCCACTGAATGCTTCAGGTTTCTGTGAATAGGACTAGTGCTATGTGGTCATGTTTAAGAAAACGCCAGGCAAACATGCATGTATTAGATTTTTTTTATTTCGTCTTTTTGAAATGCGAATGGCCTACCAAAATTTTTTTTTGTAACTGGGCTACATATTTTTAGCTCAAGGATTTGCGTGGTTTCCTGATAAGTCTCGGAAGGAGCCTGGAGGTGACTAAGGAGTGTTTCTTTACGGTTGCAAGCATCGTTAGGAAGACTCTTCATGAATCAAGTGTGCGTTAAATTGAATATTTTACAAATGGATTGTTTTGAATGAATTATTCGTCAATTGAATTTCGTGACTTGCTATCATGATATCAAAATCCCAGTAAAATTTGCTCTTGTTCATAATAATTTTCAGGCTAGTGACGCATCCAGTGATCAAACTGCTAATGGGTTAAGTCAGCCGGTACCACCTGCATTGAATCCAGGTAAACGAGGCTTTACTTTTGGGGGTTAGTAACTTTTTACTGCAATGCTTCAGAACCCGGTGAACCCGAGACCGTCTCTGCTGCTGCACCGACAGTTGGGGCTCTGCCTAATGAAGAGGAATCAGACTATTCAAAGAAACAAAAGCGTGTGGAACTTACAATCGCACAGCTATACAAACAAAGGGAAGCACTTCTCAACCAATTGGCTGAAGCTCGTGCAAGTAAGATGGCTGAGCTGTGTCACAAACTTCTTTCCTGACTACGTTCACGGAGGGCATACTTCATAGAGGCGCTAACGACCATTAAGTGGTCTACCTAGCTTTGTTTTAGACCAACTATTAAGAGAAATGAATCTATTTTCTCTTGGCGCTTGGCGTTTTTTTTGCGTTTATTAATACTTGTGCGTTTTTTAAAGCGTCGCTCTATGTGTTAGGTGAATAATATGAACCGTCTATAACAATGTAATATAATTCAGGATGATTTTTTTGTGTTTAATGGGTAAGTAAACGTATATTTCTTATGGTAATCAGTTATTTTGAGAAAATAGCATTTTTAAAATACCAAAGTATATTTCTCGCCTGGATTCATGTTAACCATGTTGTCTGACGTTTTCCTGAAAGTGAGACCATGAAGCCTTCTTCGTTGAGAGCTTTAGCTCATTATAATACGTACGTGACCCTAGTGCATTCGTACACGTCTCAGACCGTTGCTTTCATATTGACGGGGCGTTCCACGTGTTTACACAAATGGCGTCCTGTGTGTATAAGGTGCAACATTTTCCACGCCTGCTTTCCAACATGAGACCTGCATTTCCCAGAGCGCTCTACAGTAGTCTTTTGAAGAATGTCTTTCTTTGACAATCTACTTACATACTTGGATGAATTAACTTGAATACATGTTTATTTGTCGAGATAGCCTATTTTGTATTTATTAAAACTTATTTGTTATTTCTGGTGTTTTACGCCCTTGAACGGGAGTATAGAATCAAACATTAAATTACAATTAAATTGTGTTGGCGGAATATTCCCCGTGTTCATCAGTCTTCATTTGTGAGCGTACTTTTAATTGCATTGCATGGACCTAGTGAGGTCAGTGTTTCATTTCGCATACTTACCTATTTATTCGGAGTTTTTCACGTGTTAAATGTGGTACTGAAAACCTACAGGTGTAGCTTTTTCTTTTTTGAATTAGCATGCGTCAACTATTCTATTGAGGTGTTTAGAGTAAGAACTACTGATTATTCGGTCAACCACACTGAGGTATTTTGGACACATCCTTATAATTTGAGCAAAGAGAGATGATCAATCTTAATCAACGTCGACTGTTACATATTTAAATGATTTGCGAATGCCAATCATATTTCCCCAGTGCTGTGAATAAAAGCAGTATTTTTTATCGGATTGATGCCACAGTACCACTAAAAATTTCCTGTACTGCTACTAGTGAATGTCATTATCTGTAGATTTCACTTTTTATTACTCTTATTATTTTGCAATTTTTGTTGCTTTAGAAGCTAATGGTAGTACCTCATCATCAAAGGACGGGTGTGGAAACACTTCAGAGCTCATTTCAAGTGCCCCGTTCTCCAGTGTTGATCGCACTAGTAACAAACATGCTTCGACGTCGTACGTTGTCTAATCTCTTTTTGTAAGGGTTCATACTTTTCTTCACTGGATCCCCTGGGAGCTCAATTATTTGCCATTGGTCGTGTCACTATTTAACTTCACTTTGTTGGTTGCTTTTAATTTTTTCTAACGGTGGTTCTTGTTGCGTAATTACTACATTGGCGATAATATTTTACACATAGGAGAATTTTACAATGAAACGATTGAAATACACAACACTAAATCTCTTATGTTCTCTTATTGGCCTTTATTAGGTAAAGCTGTAGGCGAGAAGGCATCCAACTGTTTAAACCCTCTTTAGGTTATCGAGCGCTGACGCCGCTGCGAGTGATCCTCTCCCAATTTTGAAGCGTCTACAGGCTCGAAAAGAACACCTGGAAGAGCTAAGAGGTGAACTTCGCTCCTTTACCTTTCCGAACGGGGATGAAGCGCCACCTCAAGCAGTCACTTCGACTGCTTCTGAGATCAACAGACAGCTCACATCTCTGTCTTCCAATGTATTACAAGCCTCAGGTGTTTCTATTAAGGTTAGTTTTTTATTTGGACAGTCCATGGTCTCATCTATTTGGGCTAGTTTCTTTCCTATCTCTAAATCGTTGACGCTATTTGCGATAACTGATAATAGCTCCAAATGGTATGTAGCGAGCAGGGACCGGATGTGCTTTTTCTTTCGAATTTCAAGTAATTTTACATCCTTTGGGTTATTACTCCCCAATACTGTTATGCGGTACGGTGGATCGTGTTGGTTTACATCTTGAGATAGGAGTGAGCATTGGAACAAAGTAGGGGGTGTGTAATCTGGTGGTTTTGCTAATGTCAACCTTGCCTCTCTGATAACTTCAGGTGCCACCGCCACGTCCGCGTACATCGCCTCACGTTACCGTCAAAACCTCGGCTACTGGCATTGCTACATCTAATCTTGCCAGTGCTGAAGCCTCTCTGCCGACCTCTTTCCTCGCTTCTGAGCCGCCAACTCCTCGTCACAGTACCCAGGACATCTCTTCTGTTGCCAGTAATGATAGTGATGTCGTTACCCAGAAATGTGAGGTTGTTACTTTCCAAGTAAGTTCTCACTGCCACCGGTGTTGGTTCAATCCAAATGGACTAAAGTTTAAAAATCTATTCAGATGTTGGTGATTAGCACGTTTCTTACCACGGTTTTGGAGAAAAATTGGTCACTACAGCCCAGATTTTTTACGGTCACAGTGGCCCATTACTTTTTAAGCTTATTTTTCCTTTTCATCTACTTCATATTTTTTCAATTTAATGTCACTGTTACATGTGAAATCAGGTAACCAATCTGGAGCGTAACATACGTGCTATGTTAGCAGCGGATATGCTAACTGATTTTTGTTGGTAAAGCCATTATGACTGGGTTCGTGCCTGTAGGAGCCGGAGGCGACTTATCTAGATAACACGGAGCGCCTGTATGAGAGCATGAGGGAGGCACGCATTTGGCGCGAAGAGCACCGAAAAGCGCCGACTGACTCACCGGTTGGCGATAAGGCGGGAGACATGACGAGCACCAACGGCCGTCTGAGGAATGGTGGCCTCTCTGAGTCCACCAGTTGCATAGATGCCACAGCGATGGCCACGTGGGGTGGTGACTCTGACCGCGAGGGCAACGACATAGAAGACGTTATGGTGGTTGGTGGCGAGTACATTGAAGATGTTCCTAGTATTGTTAGCTCCAGGAGCAGTCGAGCGAATAGACGCTTCATTACCACCAGCGCGTGCTCAGGTACTGTCTTTGAGGCCATGTTTATAAGAACGGTGACTCTATTGTTCATTGTTTTCATATGTCGTGGGTACCTCTTTTTTAATAGTAAGCTAAAATTATTGCCTATAGTGATGACAGTAGGTGTTGCAACGTTTTTTCTCACTTTTAACTGCCAGTCAACGACGGAGATGGCAGCTCTTCGCGTGGTTGTCTCGGAGTGCACACCGACCCACAAGAGTCTAGCGTAGGTATCAGTCTACCTCACTTGGGTCACAGCCCTTCACCTCGCACGGGAGGGTCGAGGACGGTAACAACGACAAGGCCTCCGCAACGGCGCCAAACTTCTCGTCCTTCTCAACCAAGCCACAGAGGGATGGCAGAATCCTCTTTCGAGGAGTATGCTCTCACTAAATCCCTCGCTGCAAGTATGTGAGCCTTCTTCTTTATTCTGGATGAAAAGGTGAGTCACTCTGCTTTCATATAGACATGCTAGGTGATAAAGGTTTAATCGTGTCTCTTACACTGTGAGGTAAAGTTAAACATTGGGTTTATTATGTAAATTCCGTACCAATGTAAATTCAGCTCATACACATTTCGAAAACTGCGAGCATCACGAATTGCCCGTTTGCAGAGAGATGGGGTCTTAAGACGTTAAGCTCAATAGTAAGTGTGCAGTGTTATTTTTTATGAATATTCTCACCAAATCAGAATTGATTTAAAGTTCCAAGAATGGTTCTCGAACCGTTCTAATGCGATCTTTTGACCACACTTTCTTGATTTGTTTTAATTTTCGAATTATTGTTCTCGTACACAGAAATAGTAAACCTGGAGTTCAAAGTCGAGCAACTGACACAGACCTGTCAACTACTGGTCACCGAAAATGCTCGTCTCAGCTCAGCTCTCTCTGTGCTCTTGGCGAGTCAGCGCCTACCTCCTATCGCCGGTGCTGCCAACTCGGATTGGCCGGCCTCTTCCCACAGCGGGGCAGCTTTCGCCAACTTGCAACAGCCTTTACTCTCCATCCCCACCGGTGGTCTCTTCTTTTCACCAGTGCCGCCCTTCCGACCATCCGATAGTGCCAGTGGTCTCCCTTCTGTTCAGTCTCTAGCTCCAGCCCCTCTCACGCCCACCCTGCATGCACAGCCTTCGCCATCTCTTGAGAAGGCTTTGGACCAAGTGCAGGTACCAGCTGCCCTTCTTGCTATTTCTCTTTATTTGCCTTTATTTTTCTGAACATCGGCTCTGATTGTAGCTGTTAAAGTTGTTTTAATGTGCGTGTGCACCTGTGTGCTGCTTCGGTGAGCCTTTTCGCAGTTTATTCGTCTCTTATGTGATAGCGTTTTTTGTACCCTTAGCATGGAACCGCTTGGGACGTTTTGGTATCGTGACTGCCAGGTATCCATGATAAACAGTGAAAGTTCAGTTATCTAAGCATACCATTAGGGCATGAAAACCCATTCCTTAATGCTCATTTTGACCATCTTAGTTTTGTTAAAAGCCCTACCTTTTACCCATTTTATTGATACGCTTTGGGGTTTTGTAGATTGGCGTTCACGCAAGTTCGTTTACCAAGTTGGTAAAAGGCAAATTTTCTATAAGTTACGCTTTGAGACGTGTTAAAACTCTTATGCACTCAGGCATCTCATTTATATTTTAGAAATTTGGTGGCGCATAATGTCATTAATTTTAAGTGCTTTTTTTGCGCATTTCCCCTCTATCTTCCAATTCGTAGCGTTCCTCTGAACTGCCACTTAGCCCATTTCTAAAAAGTGTTGCGATAATTCCACCTCACCGTTGTGTCGCAGATGCTGACGGCTCAGGTGATTGAGCAGCACTCACGTATGAATCAGCTTCAAAATGATCTGCATGTGGCTCTTCAACAGCAACAGCAGCATTTTGCTGGTGGTGGTGACGTGGTTAGCGTCAATCAGCACCTGGCCTCTGCCTTAGGATTGCGAAGCTACCAAACGCCGACGCAGCCGTCTTCGGGTCAGGGCACGGGCCGGGACTCCTACCAGCCACAGGTGGCTGGCCTCTCCTCACTGATGGCACTACAGGCCACCACCGATCTACAGTCTCGCCAGCCTTCTGCTGGACGTCCTCCCGCCAAATTTGACTGGTCAGCCCTTTACTTGAAACCTTAGTGTATGCACTCGCCCTCTTGCTGGCTTCTTGGGGGTGGTGGTAACCAATGCTTGAATGGTTTGCCTCTTCAAGACCTGCGCTCCTTTCGAACGTTGTGCTCAAAAGTTTTTGTCCTAAAAGCAATACTAGTGCAATGTGTATGGTTGCTGTGGTAATACCTTTGGTTAAGAGTGTTCTAGCATGCCATCTAAAAATTCCTTTGCTAAAAATAGTCCGTCTGAAACACTAGCAAGTTGGGCACCACTTTTTAATTATCAATATTTCACCCCTTTCTATGTCCCAACTATTCTTAAAACACCTATTTCATGCACACTAGATGCGATTTTTCGTCCAGTCTTCAAGCCTACCCATCAGACAACGGTCATCAAATCATCATATTTGATTGCGATCTCAGTGGAATCCCAACCCAAGCCAGATGCCATTTTTCACAACTTATCACCCGACTCCTGCCCTCAGCCAGCTAACCTCCACCCCCTATTTAGTGTTTGCTCCGTTAGTACCTACCCACGCATTTTCTGACAGCATGAAAAGGACACTGGCCACGATGACAGAATTACGGCATACCCTTTGTTTGAGCACATTGTCTCCTGGAATCAGACTGTACCACCTGGCTAATGTTTTTATCCGATTCTCTATTAATTGAATCACTTGGTAAAGTGCGTTTCTCGCTTCATTGTTGCTGCTCTTACGTGCTAGGGAGATTATGAACATCGCGAAAGCGAATCTGATGCTTCGGAGAATCAGAGTCGACTTTGTCGTCATTGGTACACTCCTATACCCACACAACAGGAACCGGCCGCACCCCAAACCAGTTGGTCAAATGGCTTAAAACTTATCACATTTAAGTCTGGCGAAGTGCCACAGTAGGGTGGACAACGATCTTGTTGCTCTCAACGATAAAATTCACTAATCAAGGAAACCTTAGGGAACAGAAAATTGTGATTGGGCGAGATAATTAACTAGGAAGAAAATATTCAGCTTAGAGGGTGGTAAGGGGAGCACCTGGCTTAAGCGTCTGAAAGCGCCGACACGCCAGGTAGAACTTTGCCTTCCAGCAGCTCGAGACTGGCGCCGCCTCCAGTGCTCACGTGGCTGACTTTTGACTCGGTGTTCCACTTGGCGCAACAAGTGGCGGTGTCACCACCACCTAAAATGAGTGAAAGATTGTCTTAGAGGGAAAACAGCACTCGAAAGGGGACATGCCTTAACAGTAAACGACGATACAAACCGATAATAGTGATTGCACCCTTGCTAGTGGCAGCTACAACGGCGTCCATGACAGCTTTGGTGCCATTAGCGAAGTTGGACCATTCAAAGACACCGGCTGGACCATTCCAGATGATAGTCTTGGCCCGGCTAATCACGTCAGCGAATTCCTTGGATGACGTTGGTCCGCAATCAAGACCCATTAAATTATCTTCGATGCCTGACTCAATCGTAGCTGTACCAACTTTGGCGTCCTCGGCAAATTTGTCACCGGTGATGAAATCGGACGGAAGGTGAACCTTCACGCCCTTCGCTTTGGCCTTCTCCATGATTTGGGGCACCGTCTTAGCACCAGCTTCATCGAATAGACTTTTGCCGATTTTCATGTTGTTAAGCACCTTTAGGAAGGTGAAAGCCATACCACCGCCAATGATAAGCTCGTCAACTTTATCCAGCATATTGTTAATGAGTTGGATCTTGTCAGTTACTTTTGCGCTAGAAAATAACGGGAAACGCAATAATAACAATAGTAGAACCTAAAGTGTAAAGGTTTAGACATACCCCCCAAGGATAGCAAGAAAAGGTCGGGTTGGACTCTCAAGTGCCTTTGCAAAGTATTCAAGTTCCTTGTTCAACAAGAGACCAGCAGCTCTTTGTGGAAGTTTACAGCCAACCATTGATCTAAAAGTGAGTGCAGCATTGGACATTGTTCAAATACATCAAACGACCAATAAATTACAAACGTACGCGTGAGCACGATGGGCCGTTCCGAAGGCGTCGTTGACATAAATGTCACCAAGAGCGGTCAAACTTTTGCTAAATTCTTCAACTTTTCCAGAATCAGCCTTAACCTAAAATTTCAGGGTATCAAAAACGGGAATAAGCCAATAATATGCATTGCTACGGATGGCAAGATAAAAATGACCAATAAGTATAAGTACAAAACACGCTGATATTCAGCGATACGATGACCTGAGGCATTCAATTTCCAAATGGTATAGGTACCTTATTTCCAGTGGCATCCAAACCTTTACCCTCTTCCTCTACATGAAAACGCAGATTCTCCAGAAGAAAAACTGTTCCTGGGGTAGGATCCTTACAAGCTGCTTCGACTTCGGGGCCCACACAATCCTTCAGGAATGTAATGGGTTTTTCCAGCTCCTTTTCTACATCCTTGACAATTTGTTGCAATGAATATTTCATGTTAGGCTGGCCGTCGGGACGACCCATATGTGACATCAAGACGACACTCTTAGCTCCTTTGTCAAGAACAAGTTTAATTGTGGGTACGGCAGCGACAATTCTTTGGGGATTCGTGCACTTGCCATCTTTCATGGGAACGTTGAAATCGACTCTAAAAGGCGTTAATACAAACGCACTCATACCTCATCAACACGCGCTTCCCTCTAACATCAACGTTCATTATGCTCAACTTCTTTAGACTCATTGTTAAGATAAGGAGTATCAAACACTCGGAAAGGTAGTGGAAAAGTCACGTACGCAGACACTTATAAATGGCGGCGCCCGCGACGGTTGACAACAGTGGCCTTCACATTAACAACTTGAACTAACACATGCGAATCATTTATGTTAGAAAAAACCCTTGAAAATCAGTAAAATTTGCTAAAAGCGTTAAAAGATGTGTGCAACGCGTAAAATATTACTGAGTAATAATAATTTGACTTAGCTATCAATAAACTTAGAGGTCTGTCGATAATTCACGCATAAAAGAAACAAACTAAAGCAAGCACAATTTTTTTGAGTAGTTTTTTTAAGCAGTTGCTTTATTGTACCCATTAGTTTTGATCCACTGACGTCTCCGAAGTACTGAGGATTTAAACAAATATATAGATATTTGTCTATAACTCTAAGACTGCTTAAGGGCAAAAGAAGGCATTAAATCCAGAGGGAATGTCTGTCTGCTATGCAGCATGGCTTGGGTCTACTAGCGTGGGACGGAGGCCAACTCAAGCGTCGAAGGTACAATGACGGACACCCAAAGTGTCCTCTTTAGCAAAACCAAGCATTTAAAAGCCGACGTATTATCTAGTTGTCCTTTTCTGTTGGCGTTATTTTAGACGCTCTAATAAGTACCATTCCGTTTTAGCTATTGCAACGTAATCAGTGCTGTAAGAAAACTACTCACGAGCATGCCCAGGGAATCATTGAATTTCTATGCAATGATGGCGATACTCTGCCGTAACGTCGCTGGTCCTCTTGGCAAACTAAATGCATCTAAATTTTACTGACTTTGTTATTTTCTGCATATACAAGTTTTCTGCTTAGCTGAGATTTACCACGCGACACCAGAAATTGTGATGGAAGACCTGCAAGATCGGGTTCACTTTTTACTGCCACCAAGCTAGCACTCAAAGACTTTTCTGAAAACCAAAAGTACATAGTTTAAAGGCAAAAGGTATGCATTTTGGGGCATTTGAAAAGGCTTGGAGCCAGTGGCATGTCCTGAAGGATAGTCCAAACGGCGAAAATACATGGCAGAGATATAAAGTAGCTCACTACCCGAACTGATATTTAAATGACCACTGCACTACACTTGAACCCTTAGTCGCAACCTAAGATAAAGCTAAGGATACCATAGATGATTTACGAGATGGAACTCTGTCGATTAGATGTATGAGTGTAGCCCCAAAATTAAAATTAAATTAATGATCAATGCTAGGTTTTACAGTTCCTTAAAAGATGAAGTCACACCAGCTTTCTTAGGTACTTGTAAGATTACAGTAAAAGTAATGTGATGGTTGTTTAACTCTCTGTTTTGGCGAAGAGCTATTTTCTACTTGGCCATTGTACCACTCGCGATGGCTGACCCAGAC